CACACACACACACACACACACACACACACACACACAGAGAGAGAGAGAGAGAGAGAGAGAGAGAGAGAGAGAGAGAGAGAGAGAGAGAGAGACAGGCAGGCAGACAGACAGGCAGACAGACACAGACAAAGACAGAGAGACAGAGACAGAGACAGAGAGATAGAGAAGACAGAGAGAAAGAGGAGACAGAGAGATGCAGCCTATTAGCCATGGTAGTATATGATGATATTCTAGCACTATGGAGAGAGAGGCAGGAATATCAGGAATTTAAGGCCCTCTCCAACTACATAATGAGTCCAAGGCCAGCCTTGACTATGTGAGACTGTTTCTCAAAATATAAAATATTGAATGGGATGGGACAGGAGAGGAATGGAGTCACAGTACAATGACATGGAAGATATTAAGGAAATATTGTGTCTCAAAACACAAGTTGTGGAATAAGAAGAACAAGGTGATGTCTTAGATTGGATTACTATTGCTGTGATGAAACCCCATGACCAAAGCACCTTGGGAAGGAAAGGGTTTATTTGACTTATTTTTCTACTTTGTAGTCCATCACTGAAGGAAGTCAGGACAGGGACTCAAACTGGGCTAGAACCTGGAGGCAGGAACTGATGCAGAAGCCATGGAGGGATGCTGCTTCCTAGCTTGCTCTACATGGCTTGGTCAGACTACTTTCTTATAGAACCCAGGACCACCATCCCAGGCATAGTACCATCCATAGTGGGCTTGGCCCTCCCCCATCAAGTGCTGACTAAGAAGATGCCTGCAACTCTGTCTTAGGGAAGCATTTTTTTTTTTAAATTGAGGCTCCCATCTTTCAGAGGATTTTAGCTCATGTCAAGTTGACATAAAACTATCCTGCACAGACAGTATGATGCAAACACACCATAGAGTTACCTTGTTTATCTTTCCGGTCCACATGTACAGGGAGAAATATACCATAAATGTAGGAAAGGATACACTCTAAAAAATGATGGAGATTCCTCTCAAAGATGAAAATCCTATTTGGAAGGAATAACCAAGGGATTTTGTATTTGGTCTTTTCAAACTGTGGGCCTACTGCCAAGATGTCTCAGTGGGTAAAGGTGTTTGGTGCCAAGCCTGACAATTTGAGTTTGATCTCTGGAATCCACTTGGTGAAAAGAGATAACTTGCAAGTTGTCCTCTGACTGCCACACTGCATGATGACATGCAGACACACACTACACACTTACTATAAACACACACACACACACTTCAAGCACATACACAACATAAATAAATGTAATTTTTAAATATAAGTTGCATTAAAAGCATTAATGTAAACAAACCACTCTTAAGGAGAGTAGATGGCCAACAGACAATGAACTCAATGGCATCGTTGGGGGCTCATTATCTCTTGATTTTTGTCAGGGTTTTACTTGTTTATTCATTATTTTTAACTTACATGTCTTTTGTATATATGACAACTTCCAGCTTTCTGTTTTTATAGCATTCCTGTGTGTACAAACATTTGGGTCTCTGTGTCTACATGTGCTTCTTGTACTCTTTCTTTGGCTCTTCATCTGTCTGTATGTGTTTTTATTATCTCATTTTTATTTTATGATTATTCTTTAATACCTGTTTGTTTTCTAAGGAGAGGCAGAAAGGGTGTGGATTAGGGCCTGGAAGGAGTTGAGGAGGGGAAAATCTATTAAAAAAATACTTATTTTCAATTAAAGAAAATGGGTTAAAATTACTGTGAAGACAAAAAGTACCAAAGCTCATTCCATCCACACTCTTTATGGACTGGGCATAGGGTCCCAGAGAGCTTAAATACTGGAACATCCCAGACTCAGGATGTAGGTATGGAATGGATTTTATTCATTGTGGGGTATTTTGTTTTGTTTTCTTGTTTTTGTTTTGTTTTTCAAATAGAATCATTCAACTGGAATCAGAGCTATGATCTTTCGCTCCTTTAAATTCTCCATCACCCAAAAAGGAAAAACAGATTCTTTCTGTGTCTCAAATCAGAATCTCCTGTGATCAAGTTTCTGGTCCACTCCTGAGACAGGAAATAAATTTAGAAGGACCTAGTAGTGTTTTTCTAATGAATTAGAGCACTTTAAAATATGATCATGGCATAGACCAAGGATGAGAACTGTTTCTAACATCCCTCTGAACCCCACCCTATCTTAGGTTGTGCAAAGAATACAACATCCTCTTTTATTTTTTTTTTCTTAAGACAGGTCTCACTATGTAGCTAAGGTTGGTCTGGAACTCACAACATAGCTCAGACTGGCCCCAGACTCATGGAGATCTCCCTGATTCAGGCTCTCAGTGTCTGGGATTACATGCCTGAGTCAACAGCACTTTTCAGGACCCAGCACTTCCTGCCACACATCCAATAGCATCCAGGATGCCCATCTCTCAATGGGAAAAAAAGCTGTGCCTTGATAGCTAATTCTAAGCAAAGACTCAGTGCCTCCTACAGGAAGCTGAAATGAGAGGTGGAGGTTGAAATCCAATATTGGAATCTGCACAACCCAAAGCAAGCAAGGGCTTTGATGTGTGATCTCTACCTTGATGAGTGCTTCTCCATCCACCTGTGAAGGGAAGGTCTTAATATACCTGGGGCTCGGGGAAAGAGGGAAGAGAAAGGTTTGTCACTCAGTAAGTGCCACAAGTGTTTCCAAGAGTGGAATAGAAACTTGAATCCAAACTCTACCATTTAGTAGTTGTGAGAATGGCTTAAC